AAATCACTGTTAATTTTCGCCTATAGGCGTTTTGTAGTATATATATATATATATATATATAAAATTTATTTTTATTCTTTTAGCATGTATACTATGCTATCTTGGGAGCATAGTTTATTTCTACTCCCTCTGTTAGAAGATCTACTTGGAAGGATTTTTTAAATCTGAAATTTTGGGAACCAAGAATCACTAGATGATTTTCTCAAAAGATAAAATTTGAAATTTAAGTTTTCTAATACTTTGATCTCACTATCTAAAAATTAGATAGTCTCTATTCAGTCTCAAGAGTTTTGCTTTTTCAAGCGCATAGAGGGTGCAATAGGAGATCGTTTTTTATTAAGGTTAACCTATAAGTTGAAGAGGTTACATCCCCAAAATTGAGGGTCCTAAAATTAATTTGAGGTGTCAATAGAGTAGAATGAAATATTTGAGGTGCCAATGGAGTAGATTGAAATATTTCCTCGAGGCATGAAATATTTTGGCTTTATTATTATCATTTTTATTATTTGTTTGAGATAGCTAGCAGTAAGCCTCAGCTTAAATTACTAAAGAGCAATTGTTTCATGTGAGCTGGTCTGCATTTCTTACAATATGTGGTTCAGAAGTATAAAACATCCATTTTTAAGATAGATGCAAATAAGTGGTCTATCCAAAAGCAATGATAACTAATAGTTTAAATGTTTTTTTAATATAATTAATATTTTTTGATTTTTTATTTTTAATTTTTTTAATTCATGATCTCCATAAATTATGTTTAAAAAATATATTTATTGCCGAGCATTTCTACACTATGCGGGTTGGACACATGCTAACCGCGTCCATTACTAAATAAAGAAGCTTAACTGCTTGGGTCTTAAAAGTTTAAGCATCACATGACAAGTCATCATTTTCTGTTGTCTACAGTGAATCACAGTCAAGTCTTAAAAATGCATGCCAACTTCATGAGATTGGAAAATCACCCTCAAGTGCATATCAACTTCATGAGTCTGTATCTTCCTTGAATTTAGAGTAATTTACGTAAGGCTCCTAAAAAATAGCGAAAACACAAATGTTTAGATTATAGCCCAAAATTACATAAAAAAAAAAATCAAATCCACGTGTGATTTTTTTTCTTTTCAAAATTACCTTTCGATCCGAAGATGCCATCTTCAGACCACTTCCTAGTATGACGTGAATAATGCAGTATGAGGTTTGCATCATCATATCACTTGGAACTTCATTTGTGGTCTGAGGTTGGCATCCTCAGACTGCCTTGTGAACTTCATTTCAGGTCCGCCTCCTGGTGTAACGTGAATAGTACGATCCGATATTTGTATCTTCGAATTGCTTACAACTTCATTTGCAGTTTGAGAATGACATCCTCGCACTACTTGGAACTTCATTTCCGGTTTGAGAATGCCATCCTTGGACGGCCTTATGTTCTTTGGATATGTGGAATTTCAAGCGGTCCGAGGATGCCATCCTCAGACCAAGGGGCAAATTTGAAAAAAAGAAAAATCACTTGCAAACTGACCTTCTATGTAATTTTGAGATATAAACTGAGCATTTTGTTTTTACTTATTTTTTAGGAGCCATACATAAATTATTCTTGAACTCAAGTCTTTGGACATGCTTGCACATTCATTTTTGGGAAAATTACAAATAGCAAGATTAAGCTTTCTATACAAGTTATCCCAACTAATTTTTTTCTCAGTTTTTACTCCAAAATATACTTTCTTAGCAAATACCCCCCAACTCAACAAAAAAAAAAGAAAAAGTCTAAACTACTCTCCCTTATTTTTACCCGCGCCTCTCTCTTTTTTCCCATGAAAAGGCGGTCCAACGTATTCTTAGGGCGGTCCGTCAAGGTAATGTCAGTCCAGTAAAAAATAGTGGTGGTCCGACAATACAAATGGTGGTCTGGCAATACAAGTGGCGGTCCGACAATACAAGTGGCGCTCCGGCAATAACAAAGAACAGTCTGACAATAGACCCATGCAGTCCAGCATTGTCAAAAAGTGGTTCGGCAACAGGTCTATGCGGTCCAGCAATAGGCCCATGCAGTTCGGCACTGCAGTTCAGCAACATGCGGTCGAGCAATAGCCCAAAGTGTGGTCCAGCAATGTCAAAGAGCGGTCTGACAATGTCAAATAGCAGTCCGACAGCCCATGTAAGCCGACGTGAATGTTCGACCAAAATTAAATTTTTTTATGTACGAAAAAGGGTATTTTCATAAAAACTATATACCTATTTTTACTTGGGAGGCTCTTTGCTAGAAAAATAGTGAGAAAACAGTTTGGTTGGAGGTAACTTGCATAAAAAATCTAGTCTTGGGGGTTATTTGTAAGGGATTATATAGAATGAGACTGTTTACCTTTGGAATAAGGAGGTCACAATTACTTGCAATCATCTGAAAAGAAATTTGATAGTTTAGGTATGTCATAAAGTTCGAAAAAAAGCTTTTTAACTTTGAGCTTGGTCAATGAAATAAATGCAACCACTCAAATTTACATCTAATGGTCAAGATTTATTGTGACCATCTTGTACCAAAAATAAATATAACCATGTACCAAAAATAAATGGTCTCATTATATACTTTTCCTATTTATAATTTTCCTTAAAAATTTTCCCGTGTTATTACAAGTTCAGCGAATAAGGAAACATTTCAACTGATGTAAAATAACCCCATTTTTCTCATTGAGTTATCTCTTAATTTACATCGAGCTATTAACAATCGTGATCTCTAGAAAGCTAGCGGGCTTTCACTGCCTTAGGTGCTGGTACAGAAGAAGAATATGCAGAGGCATGGGCAGAGGAAGTAGAAGCACTAGATGGAGAACTAGACTTAGCAGTGAAAGCAGCAGCAGAAGAGGTGACAGCATCAACAATTTTGAGTGCATGCTGCAAGTGGTGTGCGGTGTCCGGCGGGTGTGCATCTATCCTTGGCCGTTCGGGCACCACATAGCGGCCATCAGGGCCTCTCACCATCCCCTTGTTCTCGTCCTGTCGCCAGTTCGGTGGAACCCCGTATTCATCCCTTAGCAGACCTCCGCTTTTGTTGAGCAATGCTACGTCCCTCTTGTCGGCCAGCAAGAACTTGTGCCCCGGTCCCCTGTGTCCATCCACCAGGTGTAGGTGGAGCTCCATGTTGTGCCTGCTTGCAGGGTCGAGGCCTGGCTTTAAGAACGGGGATTTTGTGTCGTCGAGTGCGAGCTCGACCCCAACATGAGCGTAACTCCACGGCAGGCCATCGGCCAGTGCCCGGGGCACGGATACATGTTCATTGACGAGCACACCTGGGACCTGGTATAAATAAGTGCAGGGGCCATCACCCATCAAGAAGAACAATTAGTTCGTCAAACAGAGAGAAAGAGCTTTTATCAATAGGAATGGAATCCAATCACTCATCCCATTGCCAATTGTTTTTGGAATGATGATCTCAAAATTTTAGATAAAATACAAAATGTTTTATTTATAGGTGGAAATTAAAAAGAAAGTTAGTATCAATCAACCCATCTTTTTTTATGTTTTACAAAATTGCCCCGGGGTAAACCTGAATTTTTTAGCTCTTTTATAGTTTTTGGTTAGTAGGTAAGTGAAGCTTCGAGGCACTACTCTACTAATGAAAAATAAAAAATAAAAATAAAAAAAAGTAAGAAATCAAAATTTGGATTAATCAATTGGCAAATTTGAAAAAAATTAAATAAATAAGATGGGTTGACCGACCTTCTTTGAAATTTTTTATTAAAAGCATTTTATATTTTACCTAAAATTTGATGTTCTTTACATAAATCACTCTTGTTTTTTTGCGTGTATGTATGTGCATAGTGTTTCTTCTATGCGACTCAACAAGTGGTATCAGAGAAGGTTACACACCTTTGGAACACTGTCATGCACGTTAACTGTCCGCAAAACGCTCACACCGAGCTCCTTACATCGCTCTCTGAACCGTCTGTTGCCCACCCTCGGCGCGCCGAAGGAGAATACGGTGACAGGTGCACGTCTGCCGTCGGGTAGGATGTTTAGGCCTGTCTCGGCGATGTCATAAGCACTGAGTAAAGCAAGGGCGCCACCAAGGCTGTGGCCGGTGACAGTGATGCTCAGCTCGTGCTCATCATCTTTGTAGCGCTCCATGAGGCGGCGAATATCGGATAGCACCTGCTCATTGTTTAGAAAACGCCGTTATGCTCAATGTGTTATGACTTTATGTAACCAAAGAAGTTATTTATATATAAAGGAAAAGCATAAGAAAAGGAAAAACAACATACGCCACAGGAAAAAAAAAAAAAAACACTGTTCTTGACAATGACAATAACTTGGTGTCAACATGCTAAAAATTTCAAAATCCAAATCTATTTTTATCTTTTTAATAAGTCGAGTAGCCCCTATTATTGGGCTTTCATAGCATTTTGTCTCAAGTTTTGTTCCTATATAACCATGTTAAAAATGAAATAAAAAAAAATACAAATGCAATGATTGATCCTTATATTTAAAAGACAAATGACTATTTTGAAAAGTGTGCGGTTTATATAAGGCCGAGGCTCTAAACAGTCAAAGTAAAATGCACTCGATAAATGTGGTTTCAATACTGAAAATATTTGTCATAGCCTTGAAATTTATTTTCATCTCTAATTATAAAACTTAAAGCTTCAAGCAGATCTATAAAAACTTGAAAATCTTAAAAATTGACGGTCGAAAAATGCATTACAAGATGCACTATTTCTAAAACTTGAAATCCTTTTTTTATCATGTCCATACATTTTGAGCTCGAGATAATCAATTTGAAGATTTTTTATCATCAAAACAACCGCGTGAAATTTTTTAGGTGCGCCCCAATTTGATCGTTTAGAACCTCACACTTAAATAAATTTTTTCCTTTAAAAACACACCCACTATTATTATTAGAAAAAAATGTTATTCAGCATGCAACCATCAATCTTGCACCACCAGCACTTCACTAAAAAGTCGCCCGTCATTTAAAAAATATTTAATTCACCAGCCCGCCACCGTTACATAAAATCTCATTGCATTGACGTTATAACAGCTACGACAACGTGTTTCTAAAAGGTCAAAAACAGATACCTGCTCACGAGCTGAGAAGGAGCAATAGTTGCAGGAATGCTCCTTCTGCGTGTACAAATCCAAGAACCCGGACTCCACCTTCACAGATCCATCCGGTCCGAACCCCGGCACGGCCAGGTAGTCCATCAGGTCCTCCAGCCACTCCAGGTATGTCACCGTCCCACGCCATGCAATCACCACATCCCGTCGCCCTAGCCTCTGCACCTCGTGGGGGTCCATCGTCACTGCCACATATCCCATCCAGTTTGCGTGTGTGCTCCACACCTTTGTCAATTTCGATTTCCTGAAGAAATTGCGCAGGTTGATATTAGAAGTGGCGTACAGGTACCGACTGAGATCGTGACCACTGTCGGCCATGCCTAACTTCTCGAAGAAGTGGCCGCCTGTGTACTTGCAGGTGCCGCAGTACTTGGAGTAGGGGTCGAAGTCGAAGGCATCATAGCACGCCTGAGCGAATTCGCCGTAACGTATGATCTCCCGACGTAGTAATCCGTCCATGGGGTCCAACAAACCATTCCAGTGGTTCTCACCCTGTATCTCTCGCCATCTTTCGGATAACGGAGCCGACTCTTTTTCTATTTCCTCCTCTGTTTCATCATATTGCACTTCCTCCAACAATTCCTCTTCTTTTTCCTGGTGCTGCTTCTCTTTTGTGCTTTTCTCTTGCATCTTTTTCAACTGAGTGAGAGTTGCTTCGGCTTTGCTGCTCTTTACAGCGAGAAGCCATGGCTGACCCTTGCACTCAGAGAGGCGGAGAGGCCGAAAGGTGGATGAGATGGTGGTGCAGCCATGGCTGAGAGGTGGTGCTTGGCTGAGAGGAGGTGGTGTTCTTAGATGGGAAGCCATTAACGATCCAGGTTCAACAATGGGGAAGCTTTTACTGTGGTGGGGTTCTCTTTGTTTTGTTTGCCATGTGCGTGTGCTGTCTATGCTTTTTATAATGGGGGTAACTCGATCGTTTATGTGGGGTGTGACCTGTGCGGGTGCCCTTTATTGCGGATGCAATGTTTCAAATTTCAGTGAAATTCGGATAAATTTCGGTATGGAGCAGTGTGTAGGGAAAGTTCCTAGTAAGTTACGTGTACAATTCAAAGAGTTCGGTGGAAAGGAACTCTCAGTCCTGGTTGTAGCACCCGATGCCTCAGTCACCACGGTTTCTATTCTCATTGATACCACCTAAGTAACACTTTCAAATTCCTATTGAATTACCCAAAAATATATATATATATATATATATATATATATATATAAGAACATAAAATTTTGAAAGAAGCAGTTAGAATTATCTTTAAAAGATTTTGTTTGTTTTTAAGATTAGTTAAGAATTTCATATTATTATTTTGTATTTTATCTTTTTAAATACTCAAGGTATAAATCAAACTCTCAATAATCCATATATATGGATTTTTTCATATTATTTAGTAATTCTATTAATCATTTAAGTTTTTTTATTTTTAAACCATTCCTTTAAGTTTTTGCTAATTTTTTTTTTTTTAGTGTACCTTACTCGGCCGAGTCCACTTGGATCCGGGCAAGTCCACTTAGACTCGGCCAAGTTACTCGGCTCGGCTGAACAGCCAAGTTCCTCAACTTGGCTGAGCAGCTTGGTCCAGTTGATTTTTTGTACATTGGAATAAACAAATGGTGAAAGTTTTAGCAATTAGGACAATATTATCTGAACTGACTTTCATACAAAAGAAATTTGGTGCATGCGCCAGATTCATAGAATGCTCTTCCAAAGATAATCAATCTTATTCGGAAAGGGATTGGGGTCGTGGTAGTAACACCCCCACACTTTAGTCATCATGTTGTAGTTTTCATTCCAGCTAACACTACTTCATAATACTTTAAAAAATATTAACGCCTAAATTATTTGTAAAAACGAGAAAGGGTCTGTTCTCCACAAAAAAAAAAAAGAAGAAGAAAAAGGGAAGGCCAATCGATCTTATTGAAAAATCTGTTCTCAAAATTTTAGGTCTCTTCTCATTTTTCAAATTTGATTCATTGATTTTCTTAATGTGTTGTCATAATGGTCAATTATTAAATAGTGGAATAATCCAAGGTTTTCTTGACGACTGCACACGCATTTATACAGATGTTTGCCGCCTTAAACACATTACAACTAATATGCTCCTTAACCTCCTTTTTGTTTTTTGTTTTGTTTATTTTGTTTATTTTGTTTATTTTTTTTGTTTTCTGACTCAAGTGAAAAAAGTTTATATAAGGTGCCAACCTTATACTATACTGGTAAGGTGAACCTAAAAAACCCACAAGAGAAGGTTGTTCCTATACTCGAAACCAATCAAATCGATCATCTCGACCTCGAGATTCATAAACAAGAAAAAAAAAAAAAAACAAAGGGTTCTAGTCCTAAAAATAGTTGATCTTCTGACACATTATCGAAACCGTCCATTTTCAAGATTTTCAAATGTATTGATCTGCTTGATCATCAGTATTTCTAAAATTTTAAATTTAAAAATTGGCGGCAACAATAGATTTCATATTATCCTTAGGATTTACGGCACCGAAATAACTGTTTTGGAATAGTTTGAGGTACACCTTACTTCAATAGTATAAGGTTGACACCTTATACAAACCTCACCCTTCATTAATTTTATTCACGAAATTTTTGAAGTTGAAGTATATATATATATATATATTCTCATTGTGAGAGTGTCGTGCTTACTTGGAGAGAGTTCCACCCTTAAAAGACCAGTAGAGAAAAGAAGAAGTTTATATAAGGATGCAACTTTATAATGTAGAGCTACAGAGCACTTCAAAAATCCATCGGAAAAGGTAGTTTTAATGTTGAAAAGCACTTAGATTGATAATCTCAACATCGAGATGTATGACCATGAAAAATAAAAAGATTTTAAGTCTCAAAAATAATGTATGTTACAACATATTATCTATACCGTCTATTTTCAATATTTTCATATGTTTATAGATCTACTTGATTTTAACTATTTTTAAAATTTAAAATTTATAATTAGATATAAAAATAGATTTTGAGATAGTCTTTAAGAACATTTTACATCAGAATTATATCATGGTGCACCTTATCTCAACAGCTACGGATGCATCCGTATGCCAACTGCACCCTTAGGGAAAAGTATGGCATCTTCGGGATTATTCTTTTATTTATTTATTGGTTTTTTATTATCACATGTTGCACGAGTATAAAGTAAGTCTGCTGGAAAGTTCCCCTTAGAACTGCTTTTAATATTTGGTGGCCCGTTGTGGGAACACAATAATCAAAAGTTCTCGAGAAAACAATGACGACTAATCTAAGGAGAAATATTTTGTGATCTATAAAACCATAGAAATCTTTGTTTCGATTAATAATAATAAAAAAAATAAGCAACCATAAGAATCTATGACAACAAGTGTCTGACGTATACCATCATGCCTAATGAATGGGACCACCCACTTGAATCATATCATATTGTGTTGGTCCATTCCACACCGACCCCAAATTAATGGAAAAAGTTTATATAAGTGCCAGGCTCTAAACAATCAAATTTGAGTGCATCTTAAAAATTTCACTACAAGAGGTGGTTTTGATTCTTACATATCCAGAAATTGATCATCTCGACCTCAAGATGCATGGAAATGAGAAAAGAATGGATTTCAAGTTTTGGAAATAGTGCATCTTGTAATACATTTTTGGACCGTCAATTTTCAAGATTTTCAAGTTTTCATAAAACTTCTTGATATACACTTTTTTTTAAGCTTTGAAATTAGAGTTGAAAATATATTTTAAAATTAGAGATGAAAATATATTTTAAAATTAGAGATGAAAATATATTTTATAATTAGAGATGAAAATATATTTTATAATTAGAGATAAAAATATATTTTAAAATTAGAGATGAAAATATATTTTATAATTATAGATGAAAATATATTTTAAGGCTATCACAAAGATTTCTAGTATTGAAACCACATTTCTCGATACTATTTGAAGGTGAGCTTTACTTTGAACGTTTAGAGCCTCGGCTCTATACAAACCGCACCCTATATTAATTGGATGGTGATGACATTGGTGATGTGGGATGTTCCCTGTCGTATGAAACAAATTATAATCCCCATTTAGTGGGTACCTGTTACGACACCGCCTCTTGACCCCTTCCGTACCAGCTGGAGGGCGACAGAGTACGGGATCACAACCAGAGGTTGCGAACATCACTCAGGTGGGAGTTGCTCAACGTGTTTAGAAATGTGGAATCAAAGCAAACCATGAAAAAAAAATAGAAACTCATTCAACAAGCAACATAATACCGCACAAATTAAAACCATTATGTATGTATAAAATCTCCAAAGGTTTTTTACAATTATGTCCAAGGCACTACCGGCTCGACAATAACAAGACAATATTACAACAAAACAATATTGTGGCACCGCCACCCGGCACCTACTATCAAAAAGTTCCTTGATCGGTGTGACGAGCCAAACTTCTCCCAGCCAGTTTGAAGCCATGGCGAGATAGGGAGGCTGAGAAGGAGCTAGCGCTGGGTGGATTTGTGTGAAGAAGCCAACGCCTGTTGGAAGAGCTAGCGCCTGGTGAGTTGGAGAAGAAACCAACGCCAGTTAGAAGAGCCAGCGCAGGGCGAGTTGGAGAAGAAGCCAGCGCCGGTTGGAAGAGCCAACACCAAGTAAGTTGGAGAAGAAGCCAGTGCCGAGTGAGTTGGAGAAGAGGCCAGTGCCGGTTGGAAAAGTCAGCGCTGGGTGAGTTGGAGAAGAGGCCAGCACCGGTTGGAAGAGCCAGTGCAGGGTGAGTTGGAGAAGAGGCCAGCATCGGTTGGAAGAACCAGCACCGGGTGAGTTGGAGAAGAGGCTAATGGAGTACCAACACCGGTTGTGTCTCTGACATACATGCGTTGTGTTTGCCACTTGTCAAATGCATGCTGATTGAGTGCCACATGTCCAGATTTTACAGTCTTTTGATAACACTTGGCCAGCCACCTCAACCCAAGAGTACTTAAGCCCCCTTCCTCACCCGTGCCACTCATTCTTACTTCATTTTTCTCTCTCTAAGACACAAGGTGGGGAGGAAGTGACTGTTGGTGGGCAGCCATAGTTGGGTAGGTGAGAGCTATGAGGAGAGAAGTGGAGAAGACACTATTGTCGTTTAGGTAAGTGGATCCATCACCATTGCATGATAGTCGTAAGGATGCATGGGATTTATGCATGTAAAATGAGAATGAAAGTGTATGTGATGTAAGAAAATCCTAATGCCTTTTTATTTAGAAATTGAGGCTCTTATTCTATAATAATGGTGAATGTCAATAATGAATGCATGATTCTTATATTATGTAAGAAATGCATGCTATGCATGATTATGTGTGTGTTCACAATGTGAGAGAATGATTGTTATCATGTACCTCACCATGAAATGAAGATCATGGGATATATGCTTGAGACATATTGTACGCCACTGTGAAATTTTAGAAGTTTATATGTTCTTATAGGAGGCTTTTGAACAGCTAAATGGGGTCCGATTGACCTCAAATCACCCCTATTAGAAAGATATATGAGTTTAGTAAAACGTTTATTTTTACCCATTTCTAAAATTGCTTACAAAAATGAAATTATATTTCAAAATAGAAAGGTATATCATTATTGACTATTTTCATGGAATTTTCATTTACATCACTGTGGTCATTGATTTTACTAGACAAACGAAGTTCGTTTTCAGCCAAACCACAACCATTTGAATGGGCTAAAATTTTTATGGGAAACTATTTTGAAATGCTTCCTAGATTGAAAGTTATACCTTGCTTTATGAAGGTATGTCACTGTGGGTAGTATTGATGAAAATCAAAACTATTGTCTTATTTGCCATGAATTTTCGAACTACCAAATGGAATCAAAATGCTTTAAAGTTTGGTTTGTTAGAAAGATATACGTCTTGACTTAAACTTTAATTTTGAAATCGTCATAAG